TTCTTCTCATCCTTCAAGTCCTTTAGCCCAAACACACACACACACACACACACACACACACACACACACACACACACACACACCAGATGGTAATGGGTGGCTTTACTCCAGTTGCAACTTCTAAGAACTCTCGGGGTGACCGAGGGACGTGGAGCATCAAATGTATACAACAAATCTCTTTCATGCTGGTATGAAGGGACATACAAATGTGACACAGATTCCTCTCCAAGTTAACACTCGCTTTAAACGTCTAAGGTTAACTGTCATCTAATAAAAAGAGATGCTACCAGAATAGGAAAGAAGATGCACTGTGTATGACCTTCTGCTTTCAAAACAGAAAAAGACAACTCGAATTAGTAGACGTGGGATTAGAAAAAGGCAGCTGAATCAACTCCTCTCCCTTTACTTTGCCATAGATTACAAAGAAAATATGATTATCTGTCATTATTTTTGCCTCTGTGCTTGCCTGGCTTCAATAGATAAAGATGGTAGATTTTCCAAAGCGCTGTGTGCTTGTGCATGTGTGTGCACGGGAGTGCATAAGTGGGAGTGAATACGACAACAAAAAAAGATCAAGAAAACAGGGTGGCAAATGAGGAGAGCATTAGCTTGGAGAGACACATGATGAGTGTGTCAAAACACGAGCCCCCGAGGAAACTGAGAAAGAGGGATGGTCGATCCTCTCTTCCTGTCTAGATATCGCAGCAGTTGCACTCTACATCAGCTTCTGCAGGCAAAGCGCTTTAGTTGCAGAGGCTGAATGTATGCATCAAAGAAGGATTAGCAGTCTTTGACAGAACAAAGTAAAAAAAAAAGTTTTTTCACAAGTTGGACGATTTTTCTGAAGTTTTGAGCAAAAGTTTTGTTTTGCAAATTTGCTACAGTACAGCTGATGTTTTGCAGAGAGAATGCGTCTGAAAGCATAGGTCATTTCCTATCAACACTGAGTCGTGATGTAAACAGCGTTTGAGGGGTATGAGTCATTACTGACCTGCACATTTCTTTTATGGATTACAAAAAAATGAATAGATACAGAAAGAAATAAGGCAACGTTGCCTGAAGAATCCTTGTTACTGTATTGTTTGATTTATTTTTTTTAAGAAGTGTAAATATTTGACGCTTGAATTATTGATTTGTTCTGAGTTTGCCTGCATATTCGTAGTGTAAATACTGCAGGTTTCACAGTCTAATTCCACCACCTGCTTGCACATTCAGAATGCCATGTTTAGAAAATCTCTACATGAATAAACAAAATGTGCTCAGTGTTGCAGAAATGAAGAGACAAATTACTGGATGTTCATAAACATCACTATATCTATATGCAGCTTCTTTTTTTTTTGCCCAGTTAGACCACATTTCCATTTCATTTATTGAGAGAAATCAACAGTGTGCTGATGATTCTGATACATTTAAAACAAAAAAAAGGAGAGTTGGTTTCTTTCGCATGCTACTCACGTTCTGTCTGTCTCCAGTGAGGTGGGCAAACTCCACCATCTCATTGCCAAACTGGCTGAAAATCTGTACAAATTCCTGGAAGGTGCTGACTCGTTCCAGATGGTCGAGGGTAACCAGGACCTGAGAGAAGTGAAAAGATCAGAGTAGTACGATATATATACATATGATTTGTGCTCTGCTAGTCCGTCCACACTGTAACAACCTATTTCTGATCTTGCAGGATATCATACACCATGTTTATATCCCAAGCGTGAATCTTGACTTTACCACAGAACCAAGAGTAAAAGTTATTGGACTAGTCATGTGTAATGTATTTCAATATCTTTGATTTTTTTACATTCTATTTTTGTGTTACTCCAGCGCTCCCTTTTGTAGTATTAATGACTCGATGTGATGCAATTATATTAACAAAAATAAAATAAAATACTCCTAAAATAAAACCAGCAGATGAAGTAGTTCCAAACCTGCACTTTAGTTAATAGTAGTCTATGTAGTTGCTAATTTTGCTGCTGAGGGTAGGCTAGCTGGCAGCACTAACGTAGCAGCTTTTATCCACACCAGACCAAGAGGAGGAAAAGATGTAATTGTGTTTGCCAGTAATGGAGAACAGGGGGCTGTCGACTGTCTGTCCAAACGAGGCTAACCAGTCATGATTAGGCCCCCTGTTTCCATTCTTGGCTCAGTCTACAGCTACATCCATATCACACTGTCTGGCTCAGAGCATAGCCAGGTACGATTGGAGAGAGAGACAGTCTCTTGCTCTGTGTTTTTATGTGGCCGCTAAATGTGCTGCTTCCCTTCAATTACCTCTAGAGTACTCCTTCAGAGAGCCAGTGCTTATCTAATAGGAAATAAAGGACTCAGGATGGAGTTTGCTAAGGGTTGTGTGTGTGTGTGTGTTTGTGTGGACCCTTGTGTGTGGGTGTGTGAGTGTATGCAACAGAGACTAAGCAAGAGAGTTTATGCATATCCTTATGCATATCCTTAAAGGTGGTGTCATATAACATCTGCATGTCTCACCTTGTTGCGTGATGTGATTATCTGTTTGATGACGATGCGGTCAGCTAAGACCAGGACTTTAGTGACTGAGGAGAGGAGCAAGCGGGCAGCCTTCACCATCCCTGTCCTATCGCTGAACACTGTGACACGTGCATCTGACTGGGACGGCAATGCTGATCCCACATCTGTCAGCTGGGCTATGGCATCACCTGCAAGAGAGGAGGGAAGGGTACTGTTTGATTCAGCAACAGAGATAGTCAAAGTCAAGTCAAAGTCAAAGTGAGCTAGATAGATAGATAGATTCTTCAGGTCAATATATTGTCAGATGTTAGCTCACTGCGGGCATATTTGGCTAGAGCATAGTGATTCAACAGTTCGACTTTTTCTCTCCTGCTTCTGATTCATATACTTAAACTCTGAGTGAGTACTGCAGATACAAGGACCAGAGCTCCCTTTTTTCCCCCAAGTTTAAAATATGTATATGGCTTCTTCACTGCATGGATACTCACTGGAATCACTTATCAAAGTTGACAACTAAAAAATAATTAGGTGGAGACATTCATACACAGTTGATACTGAGATTGTGTCGCAATAATGCATAAAGCTCAGATACATTTTTTACCATTTACCATTTGTTAGGCTGTTTGTACATCTGGCCAAGTCTGTGAGCTGGAAAGCCAACAGATAATGCATTAGCTTTTAAATTATATGTTGGTAGATAAGCAACAAGAAATAACAGTACAGAAATAATAAGAAAATGCCCTGCAAAGTTCAAATCCTGGTCACAATTCTTTAAAAAAAAAAACTACATTTGGAGAGCCGAAGGATTTTTGGTTGGACTTGAATGGTTTCTGGCTAAAAGTCAGAGGATTCAGGAAGAGTCTCCTCCCAGTTGGGGGGACAGACCCAGAACATTCCTCCAGCTTCTTCCCTAGGAAAGCTGGAGGAATGAGAGCAGAAAATGTAAGGACGGATGGTCAATTGATAATTTCCTAAATGCCCTCTAAGTTAGCTCAGACAACACTATGGCACAATGTTCTTCCAGTCTGCCACTCGTCACCTCCGGGAGAACATATTGTCCTGGACAGGATGAATCACAACGGTACTATATTCAGCGCAGTGGTAAGACAGCTATGCCAACCTGACCCAAACGCTACTGGCATGCTTTCACAATTATGTGAGCAATGTTTGGGGTTAGACAACTAAGGCTCCAAATACAATTGGCTAACATGCCAGAGCAAATTCATACATACACAGAATATGTGAAAGCAAAAATATTTATACAAAGTGCAACTTTCCCTTTTTCTCTCTTTCTAACCTGCTCATACCAGCTCCAAAAAGGGAAGAATGCAGAGTTTTAGGCTGAATACCGATCACCAAAACAGTACCTATCAAGAGTAAAATGACTAGGGCTGAGAGGGAGAGCGAGCGGGAGAGAAATCTCAGAGAAAGAGAGAGTTCAGAAAGGAGGGGGAAGGGGGGAGATAGCTAGGTCTCTATCGGGTCATGCCGCTTGGCTGTCTATTTAGTTTGGCTGGTCCTTTAAAAGAAGCAGCACTGACGAACTGATTGCATCCGACAGGCTGCTTTTCAGTGCCAGCTCTGCTAACCAGTTAAAACATCTAGGCATGGCTCACAAAGACTGCTGCTCAATCCCCATGACACTATGAGCCAGCTCTCCCCTCTGAATCCCAGAATCAGATGGCATGGACTGGAATATGGATTTTCACGACCTTAAATGTGAAACAGAGCTATTCCACCTGCTTCTTAGTTATCCTGTGTTCTTGCGACCTTTGCATCTTCTATTCACTGTGAAAAGCTGCTTTGTTCCTACATCGAAAATCAGGTATCAGGTGTAATGAATTCTCCTTTTTTATGTATGATGAATTTATTATTCATAAGTGAAAACTTGAAAGGCAGATCCTTGATGTGTTGGTGCAGTGCGTGCATGCAGTCAATCTTGCATGACTCAATGGATGGCAATGTCTGTCTGTCTCTTCTGAGGAAATCTGCTGTACTTTGTGTTTACTGCTAATTAGACAAAGTCAGTATGCTAATAATGCTAATTCTTTTTTTTAAACCAACTCATTGCCCTGCACCTCTAGTCCACATGTAGTCTAGTATTAAAAACACATACTGCTTGTGCTTTGACTTGATGTCGATCCTGACTACCATCTTTTCTTGAATCTTTCTGAGGGAGAAAGAGAAAGTGAGACAGAAGCATGCAAATGTGAGAATGACACCGAGAGACTGAGTAAAAGAGACAGAGACAGAGATCCAACACAGATTGCCTTCACTGACCTGCCTCATTGGATCTCTGCACCGCTCTGATGATGGGTAGCATCTAATTAAACTAGTGCTTTCAGCCTGCCTTTATTTCATTCATTATAGCACACAAGGCTGAAGCCTGCCTGATTAAACTCTCCCTGCAGCTAGGTATTAGAGAAATGTCAATCCTTCACTAACTAGCCCTTCTCTCCCCGGGAGACTTAAAGATTCTAAAAAGTCTTCCCTTTTCATCCCTAAAGATGTTTCCATCCTGTAAAAAAAAGAAAAAACTGGTCAGAGATTGGACAAAACGTCCTCCTTTTTTTAATCGGGGAACAGTTGTACAGTGTCTGTCAGGAAAAGTGCAAAGGAAAGCTGCGAAAACACTTCCCTAAGAGGAAAGTGAGTGCTGGAATAAATTAGTCACAGTGGGCAACACGCACACAAACGCACACATATACTTTACTAGGCCTCACCTTTGCAAGCACACACACATTCACATGCACATTTTCTCATCAGTCTATTCTCCTCCTCCCACCGGCACTCTCTTTGTCTGAGTTTTAGCCGTCTTTACAAATCAGCGCTGTGTGAGGATTAAACGCTTTGCTACACAAGCCGGTTCCCCAAACATAAACCTATTATCATGGTGTTGTGTCTAAATTCTTATCCAATGTGATATTGTTTCTGGCCTGCTCTGTAGAGGGCTAAATGAGGTCCTTGTTTTGCCTGATAAGAACTAAGTTTCCAGATACATAGAAGTGTTTCACCAAGCAAGTGCTGACAACTATCCAAACAAAGAATCGTAAGAAAGTTGAGATCGAGAGGAAGATACAAGTGCCTTGAGCGTGCATTTCTAGACAGATTTTTAACAGCAACATTTTACAAGAAATGTGGAAACACTGGGAGAAACACATTTCTGACAAAACCATCACCTCTTCTTTCTCAAGTTCAATAAAAGCTGACAGTCAAGCCGCAAGAGTGATCCACACATTCTTGTTTCTTCACACTGGTTGCCCTCCTACAACCCTTTGGTACCTCTTTGTCTCTCTCAGTTGTTTACTGCTTCACACTTGACTTATCCATACATCCATCCAAACAGATGAGGCCTCTTGCAGCTACACATTAGGCAAGAGGCGGAATACACCCTGGACAGGTTGACAGGAAACTGCAGAAATGCAGACATAAGGAGAAATGTAAACTCCAGTCTAGTCAGAAAGGCGCAGCCAGCAGATTCAAACTCTAAAAAGTATGGGGTCCTGACCTCTATATATATTTCTCAACGTAACACAGGAGCAATCTATGTGGCAATGAATATTGGGAAAACTACTCCTTCAATCTTGCCACCGGCCTGACGCATAAAGTCTCCGGGAGTCTTCTATCAGAATCTATTATGCTGTCCTTTCCAAGCCAGCACAGACACATTCATGCTCTCCTTCCACACAGCACCCTTGGGTGAAGAAGCCCTTTTTTTAGCCTTTACTTTCAACCTAATAACAACAATGTCTTTAGATCACTCTGAAGGTCCTCTCTGGTATAATACTGTTTGACAGCCAGGCTGTCCAGACAAATCGAAACTTGCTAAAATTTGATAACAGTGTGAAGCCTGAAGGTGATGCCGGGTGCTTTATGGGACTGTCACAGTTTGTCTTAACAAATAAACACTGATGAGGAGACAAAGACGTAAGTCTTATTGGGTAAACCACTATAACACTCTTATTACAATTTGTGAACATCATAAAGCCATGGCCGTGCTTGTGACAGGAAGATACAGTATCCACTGTGAAGAAGCTTTTAGGATGAAGGACCCTTACATAGTAAAAAAATCTGTGACCACAAAATGTGCCGTCCCTGTCTCCTCCAAACGCCAATCACTCGACAAAGTATTGAGCTGAAGTGTAGCAATTTAGGGAAATGTCGAGTACATAATAAGATCCAGCCAAAGATGCCTACCTGCTCTGCGGGCCTCGAAGCAGGCTTGACCCATCTCATCCTTCAGCTCTTGGTTCTCTGTGGCGATGGCCTCCCCGACAGCGACAAAGCGTCCCACAGCCACGCTCACTGCCTGACCCACCCTGTGTATGGCTGCCAAGGTGCGCTCTGACTTCTTTGGCTTGTCTTTATGGTTGATCAGAGTGGTGATCTGCAGGAATGTGCAGGGAAAGAAAAAAAGAAAGATGGACATGTTTATATGTAGGAAGTGACACATACTTTGCACTCAACTTTATGACTAAGGGTTCACTTCAAATTTGTTGTTAGGTTACAAGGTGATGATAAATATTCCAAAAGATGCCCATGACCATGTAATTATACAGTTTATTATAGGGCTGCAACTAATATTATTTTTAGAATGGGTTAATCTTTTGATTATTTTTTCTATTTATTAAGATAAATGCAGCAGATCTTCACATTTGAGAAGCTGGAAAAAAGAATGTTTAACATTTGTTTAATACATTACATTAATTGATCATCAAAATAGTTGATTATTTTGAACAGTGAATGGACTAATCATTGCAGCACCAATGTAATGATAAGTCCTTACAGAGGAAGCATCATGTCCTTTTTCTCTCACCAATTATAAATCCTGCATAGTTAGGTACTTTATAGTTACTTTTTTATCGACTCATCTAAAATCCTGGAGGAAGATGGATGAATACACAAGTTGCATGGCTGCACAGAATCATGACTTCTTGTTCAATAGTGACAGTATGCTGGAATTATATCCATAACAACATCTTTGATAAGGGGGCATGTTGAATCTGGAGCACACACTCCATTTGCTTATCAGCAGAGAGGAGTTTCCTGCCTGCACAGCTACAAGTGGAGATAACATTTTGGAAGACGACATGTATAACCTGCAATGCGTGTCAGAAGGAAAGATTTGAAAAAAGAGAAGCAACAAAAAGCAGATGGGAAAGGCACGCACGTCTTCTGTGACAAATACAAGATCACTGGGTACATAGAAACACACACACACACACACACACACAGAAAACTCAGGTGGGGCCTCTTAGTGGTAATTGAGGATATCAATTATGAATGGCTAGAGCCAATTATCATCAATTATTTATTGATTGCTTCCACTCTCTCCAGCTGTTATCACTGTAGGCGTGAGTAAGTATATGTGTGTCAAACCACTTGGGTCAGGGAGCGGTGGCTGGTGATTTTAATTGGTCCACAGATGCAGGTGGTCCAAGTGGGGGATCTTTTACGTCAAAGTCTTTGTGGGTTGCAGAACACAAATACGACATTTACAAATCTGAATAAAAATGTGTTGATTATTATTATTATTTTTTTTTTTACACATTTACAAATCTGATACACAAACAGTTTGAGATACAGTTACACAACTATACACTCACATTTGTAAAGAGTTTTGCTACATTAATAGCTCCATACCG